TCCTTTCTTTTCCTAATGCCAAGGTTTTCCGGTCCAGTTTCATTAAAATCAATTAATTAGTTACTGAGATAGCATTTTAGGCAACGTCCGCCATCTTGGATTTTCGAATTTTGAAAATTCGACTAAAAATTCGAGTTTCCCATTCCAAAATACCCTCGGGTACCAAGTTTCGCGTAAATCGATTGATTAGGCGCTGAGATAGCATTTTAGGTCATGTCCGCCATCTTGGATTTTCGAATTTCGAAAATTCGACTAAAAATTCAAGTTTCCCATTGAAAAATACCCCCGTGTACCAAGTTTCACTTAAATCGGTCGAAAAGACTGCCTACAGGGTTTAAACAAACAAGCCTCAGTTGATTAGGCGCTGCGATATCATTTTAGGCAATGTCCGCCATCTTGGATTTTCGAATTTCGAAAATTCGACTAAAAATTCGAGTTCTCCATTGAAAAATACCCCCAGATACTAACTTTCACTTAAATCGGTAGGAAAGAGCGCCTACAGGGCTTAAATGAGCAAGGCAAGTCTCAGTTGTAACAGTTTTCCACTCTGTCCCACTAAACTGGGACATGGGACAGGATGGAAACATATGGGACAGGATGGAACGGGACAAGATGGAACGGGACAGGATGGAATAAGCTGTTTTTTAAGCTTATCTGTAACAGTAAAGACAATTTTGGTGTTTTTTTTCAATGAATATTTAGTAGCACGTCCTAGAGGATCGGAATAAGAGAAAATTTTCCCTAACGCACACTTCGAAAGTATTTTACGAGCTGATATTAGTGTGTGTGTGTATGCTTGACGCCCTGTTAGTTATCGTGTATAGCATTCTGTTTGACATCATTAATGGCGTTAATCTTGCACAAACATTTGCGAATTTCAGAATTTTTGCCATCTACGACGTGTGAACTATTCAATCAAAACAAAAAAAGTCGTTTTTGGAAAAACCTCAACGTTACGGCAATCATTTAGAGCTTATTACATCGTTGCCATGTCTCTCCTGACTGTTGCTGACTGTTGCTCGGGACAATGATTCTAGCGCGTGAAAAAGTTATTGATGGAGCAAAAAATAAATTGACATATTTTTTTTCTCAAATTCAAAAGCACTACCTATCATTTCCGATAAAGTTTTCTTAAATAATCACTCTAGTTATGCTGCAACATCGATTTAAAGTGAAGAACCAGGCACGGGGGACACGCAAATTTGGGACAAATGAAGGCAATTTGCACATTTAAAGTTCTCCTAAATTTTTATTTCAGTCCAAATAAAGTGGGAAATAGCATGTAATAGTCAATTATAGTGTGAAAAATGAGAAAAAAATTTGATCTGCCCATGTTTCTCAGATTATGACGATTAAAACAGCTGGGGACACCAGATTCGACGCTTATTTGAACTCACCCACCTATATGCTTAAATTTGGACCGTATATCTAGTCGTCGCCTCCCCGAAATAAGGGTGTAACTACATTTCGCGATGGACCTTGCCGTCCATGTGACTTAATGCTTATTTGAGCTCATCTCAAAATGCAGTTACGCCCTTTTGTCAGCCAAGCGATGAAGTGGTCCACCTGGAAGTTTTTGATGCCGTCAGCGTTTGCGTTTTCTAATCAAATTTTATAAAAGCTTGGACGCTGGATCAAAGAGGTTTTTGTTGTGACTTTGAAAATCTTGTTGGCAAGCAGCTATAATAGAATATTCTGATACTACGTTTTAATTCCTGGTTATTTTTATGGAGCAGCTGAGCTCAGATTCATAATATTCTCGCAGCCATGTGGCCCTGACGGTAAATAACAATTTTTTTAAAAGAGTTATTCTGACCAGTCCTTTTTACTTACAGATTCTGCCGATCAAAAATAGGATGACGAAACCGGGACAATTTGGATCCACTTTCGGTGTACTCAACGCAGCAATGGTTCCAAACACTGCATTGTGTGTCGTTTTCGGGGTTTTTGGGTATCTGGCCTACGGGAAAAATACTCTCAGTCCCATCACTCTGAACTTGCCACAGACCGGAATGTAAGAGACCTCAACAGTATCCTAATCGTCTAAATTAACAATTCATATTATTTTAAGTTGTAATTTTTGCACGTCGTAAGCAAAAGATCGAATCTTGAACTTCGAGAAACATGTCTATGAAAATAGCCAATTTTTTTTATTCAGCTTACAAAAGGCCGTTTCTAGGGTCATAATTTGAGGGATTAAATAAAACGGACTCATTTAGAGCATTATTACCTGACAACCGCAAAATTCATAGAATTTAGCCTTATAGATTGCTTGAAGATACTATGACTAAGTAATGACATTTTTTTAAGTATGACATATGATGGTTGTGAGTTAAAATCATCCATGAAAACAGCAATTTCTTAATATTTTTAGTAGTAATCAGAGCAAGACGGAAAGGCACATTTTAAGAAATCTTTTAATTTACAGGGTTGGAGACTTAATCAGGTTCCTCTTGGGTGCATCTATCTTCATGTCTTATCCAATAGGCAATTACGTTGTCGTTGAGCTTCTTTGGCACAAGAATTTGAAGCTGAGATACGAAAAAATACCAGATTATTGGGAGTACGTATTCCGAACATGCGTGACGTGCACTAACAGTAAGTATTACCTTCCGCAAAAAGTAAAAAAAAAAAATATGCTAAAAATAATTTCTATATTTCTAAAAAAATATAGAGCTACCACAGATTGATGCAGGATGTAGTTATAGAAAGATTATTAAATCATAGAATTATAATTGGCACACTGACATTTCCTCCATAGAGATTCAGAAAATCTTTTCATCTTTGCTTAGGATTACTTTATGTATACTTTTTCCCTCTGTTAGACTATGATAGGCCATTTTAACGCTTAATCTGAAACTTATGGATGTGCAACAGAGGCGGATCCAGCAATTTAACAACACCGGATTTCCTCAATTTAAAGCTATCCCGTAATATCGATTCTTGTTGGAGCACCTGGTCCCTCCAAGAATCGGTACATTTCCATTGGTTTAAATGGAGCAAATACAATGTTGCCAATTTGCTGGATCCGCCAATGATGTAAAATGCCACTTTTTGGTCTAAAACTGCCCATTGACCACGCCTATGTTTGTGTAGAAGATGGCACATACGGCTGTTTTGCCTAACATAGAACCAACTCGCTTCTCCATAAATAAAGATAAAATTCGTCAATTTTTGCCAACTCGAACCACTTCCAAGAGTCATTTGGAATGTGATTGACAACTTTTACAGAAAATAGAGGACTGTTTAGTGTAATTTTCCAGTAAGTCACGTTCAGGTCCATTGTCTCAATAAATTATTTCTCGATTTGCGTCTGCGCTCGGCTCTCCTTGGAAACACAGATACATATCAAGCAGGTTGGCAACACCGCTCTCTTTTCATTGAAATCTATTGAAAATAATCGATTTTTGGAGGGGTCAGATGCTCCGGCAAGAATCGATTATTCAACACAGGTTTAAATTGTGGAATCCCTCTGTTGCCAACCTGATGGACGAGCCTCTGGAAACACCACAGCATATTTCCGTTTGTTACATTTCCATCCAGTTTACCAAGTATATACATTACGTGCAGTTAAGATGACCTCTCTTTCTAAGCATGTAACATCGCTTATATTTTTCCAGTCTTATGCTGCATCGCTGTGCCCAACTTGGAGCTAATCATGTCGTTGGTGGGATCTCTCATGGTGCCCGCTCTCGAGCTATGGCTCCCTGCCATTATGCACACTATCACGTTCTGGAATGAATACACAGGGATTAAATTCCTCATCTACGTGATAGGACCTTTCATTCTCTGTATGGTCACCGGCTTTTTTGCTCTGGTCGTCTCTCTCAGCACCACTGTCTTTGAGATCTACCAAACATTCTAGTTATACTATTTCGATAATGTTGAATGTTTGTCTTGTAACGATATTGTTAATTTTGTAAATAATATACATTTTTGTACAGTCGTATAGTATATTTTTCATTTCTACCCTTTTGAACCGGGGGCCTTCGGGTTAAAGCAATAATATAAGGAGACACAGTGTTCGCATGCTCAACAAAGGACACAATATTTTCAATTAACTGAACTATTCATGAAATAGCTTACTAGGACATTCCGGCGACCACCAAAATGGTAAACGTTGCATGCAGATAATGAACATTACGGAACTGAGAATTTTATCAAAATTTGGATCAAAATCTGGCAGAACACTTCCTTACAAAGGGGCCTCTTGCCTTATTTTCGGCGAAGCTTGCCCCCCAATAATTGAAAGTTAGTATGACATAACAGGAGTAGCCTAAATGCATGGAATTACAAATTTTTCCTAATTTAATCGACATACCACTACAATTCGGAGTGAGGACCATGTAAAACTTACAAAAACGAAGAATATTAACAAAACACAGTAAAAAAATTACAAAGTTCGGTTGAGAGAGAGAGAGGTGAGATAATGTGAGAAAGAAAAGACAATTGGAGTGCCACTTTGGCTACTCTTGTTAGATAATATCTAATAGATGCAATAATGCAGAATTAAAAGAAAGTTAGTCCGCTTCTGCTGTTGTAGGGCATTGATTGACAATCAATGTTTTTGTTATCATTAAATAAGTGGGTTTCCATTCTCAATGAAACGTCTATGGACGCATATGTAAATACTCTTTTACACCATTCTGAAACATTGTGTCACAAATTTCAAAATCATACCCAATAAATGGATTAAGATAATCCAAAATTAATTCGAAGGCCTCATGACTTGTAGAAAACAGTCTAAACAGAGTCAATAATTTTTGTTTGCATGCATATGAAACCGCTTTTATAGCGCTCTCTGGCGCTCTGCGACACCTAGCCGCCAGAGTCCCCTATCCTCCCAAACTCCCGAATTTTCGTTTCTGAGCTAAAATTCATGTTCTGAAAAGAAGACCGATTCCAAATTTGAAGAGGCGTCGGTTTAATTGTTCATACAAGGAAATTTGACCGATAAAATAATTCACAGACTCCTTATACCATTCAAAAAGATAACACTGAAGCGTCTGGTTCGGTAATCAAAATAAGCAAATGCAAACTTAAAACGAAACCCCTCGTGTTCTAAACGAATGATTTTTCCGTTTATAACATTGTTTCACCTCGTGATCATGAAAGCTTTTAACTAATTCCTCTCTTCACACTTATTTTCGATCGAGAACTCTTTGAAAAAGTTAATTTCACTCATTTTATCCACTATCACACAAAACCGCTGCTTCTATACACGCGTTGAAGTCTATAACTCTTGGGTAAGTAAATCATATCGAGTACTAAAACTGGTGATTCATATACATGTATGTGCTAAATTGATTTATATGTTATCAAATTTCAACATTGTGTGTTTAATTTTAAACGAATCACATTTCTCATGTTGCAGTTCGTATTCAAAGATACGACGCATCGGAGGACATTCTCCATAATATTTTTGAGACTGCGGTAAAATTATTTTGAACACTTAACTGTTCTTGTTTGTTAATTTTGAAGGTATTCAGGTGCGTTCAGTCAAATTAAGTTAAAAATTAAATTGATTCATGTTATTCTCATATATTTAACAAAATTTCAATCTTCCCCTGTTGGTGTGTATTAATAATTTCACTCATNTTTTTTTTGGGTCGTCATTTTTTAGAGGGAGTTTTTTAGGATTGGGCCGGGGTGGCTACCGCCACCTAGAATAGGAGGATTATTAAACCATGGAATTATAATTGGCACACCGACATTTCCTCCATAGAGATTCTCGTGAAAATCTATTGGTCACTTTCAACTTTATCTTTTAAGATTCAGCCCATATTTTCATCTTTGCTTAAGATTACTCAAATATGTATACTTTTTCCCTCTGTTAGACTATGATAGGCCATTTTAACGCTTAATATGATGTGCAATAGAGGTGGATCCAGCAATTTAGCAACACCGGATTTTCTCAATTTGAAGCTATGCCAAAATATCGATTCTTGTCGGAGCACCTGGCCCCTCCAAGAATCGATACATTTCTATTGGTTTAAATGGAGCAACCAATTTGCTGGATCCGCCAATGATGTGAAATGCCACTTTTTGGTCTAAAACTGCCCATTGACCACGCCCATGTTTGTGTAGAAGATGGCACATACGGCTGTTTTGCCTAACATAGAACCAACTCGCTTCTCCATAAGTAAAGATAAAATTCGTTAATTTTTGCCAACTCGAACTACTTCCAAGAGTCATTTGGAATGTGATTGACAACTTTCACAGAAAATGGAGGACTGTTTAGTGTAATTTTCCAACAAGGCACCATCAGGTCCATTGTCTGAATAAATTATTTCTCGAGTTGCGTCTGCGCTTGGCTCTCCTTGGAAAAACAGATACATGTCAAGCAGGTTGGCAACACCGCTCTCTTTTCATTTAAATCTATTGAAAATAATCGATTTTTGGAGGGGTCAGATGCTCCGGCAAGAATCGATTATTCAACACAGGTTTAAATTGTGGAATCCTACCGTTGCCAACCTAATGGACGAGCCTCTGGAGACACCACAGCCAGTGGCGTGGCGTGAATGATCGATTATCGATATTTCCCCATTTGAATTGGTGGTAAAGAATCGATTATTAAGTTGTTCGTTGCGAGCACCCTGTTTATCGATCATTTTCCATGGGTGTAAATGGTAGATCATTCGATATTTCGCAAAGCACGCAACGCCACTGACCACATCATATTTCCGTTTGTTACATTTCCATCCAGTTTACCAAGTATATACATTACGTGCAGTTAAGATGACCTCTGTTCTTTTCTTGAGTTGCCAAAGTACGCAAGATAATGGGTGTGGAGAAGGACATCGTGCACGATATCAGGTCCAAGCAGTTGGTCTGGTATGGACATGTGCGAAGGATGGCAGACGACCGGTTGCCCAAGCAGGTCTTCGATTGGGTTCCTCCCGGAAGGCGACGGCGTGGACGTCCTGTGAAAGGTTGGCGACAAGGGGTGGAGGAGGAGATCAGAAGGTGCCAATTGCCTGATGATCTCTGGGAGGATAGGGGGCAATGGCGATTGGGCGTCGCAGAGCGCGAGGCGGCGCTATAAAAGCGACTTTATGTATGTATGTGTAAGATGACCTCTGTTTCTAAGCATGTTGCATCGCTTATATTTTTCCAGTCTTATGCTGCATCGCTGTGCCCAACTTGGAGCTAATCATGTCGTTGGTGGGATCTCTCATGGTGCCCGCTCTAGAGCTATGGCTCCCTGCCATCATGCACACTATCACGTTCTGGAATGAATACACGGGGATTAAATTCCTCATCTACGTGATAGGACCTTTCATTCTCTGTATGGTCACCGGCTTTTTTGCTCTGGTCGTCTCTCTCAGCACCACTGTCTTTGAGATCTACCAAACATTCTAGTTATACTATTTCGATAATGTTGAATGTTTGTCTTGTAACGATATTGTTAATTTTGTAAATAATTAATATACATTTTTGTACAGTCGTAAAGTATATTTTTCATTTCTATTCTTTTGAACCAGGGGCCTTCGGGTTAGAGCAATAATATAAGGAGACATAGTGTTCGCATGCTCAACGAAGGACACAATATTTTCAATTAACTGAACCATTCATGAAATAGCTTACTAGGACATTCCGACGTCCACCAAAATGGTAGACGTTGCATGCAGATGATAAAAAATGACGGAACTGTGAATTTTATCAATGTTTGGATGTCCCATTTGGTATTCTTTACAAAATCTGGCAGAGCCCTTCCTTGCAAAGGGGCTTCTTATCCTATTTTCGGCGAAGCCTGCCCTTCAATAATTGAAAGTTAGTATGACATAACAAGAGTAGCCTAAATGCATGAAATTACAAATTTTTTACTAATTTAATCGACGTGCGACTACATCTCGGAGTGAGAACCCTGTACAACTTACAAAGCAAAGCAAATTAACAAAACACAGTAAAAAAAATCACATAATTCGGTTGAGAGAGAGAGGCGAGATGATGTGAGAAGGAAATGACAATTGCAATGCCAATTTGGCTACTCTTGTTAGGTCATATCTGATAGATGCAATAATGCAGAATATTACAAGAAAGTCAGTCCGCTTCTGCTGTTATATAGGGCATTGATTGACAATCAATGTTTTTGTTATCATTAAATAAGTAGATTTCCTTTTTCAATTAAACGTCTATGGGCGCATATCGACGGTGAAACTACCAAACCACGTATCTCGGTTTGCGACGTCGCAGACTTCCTGTCATACTTCATTTTTTAAATGAAAAACTACTTAACGTCCAGTCTTGAAAATTTCTGTGATTTTTCCTCTTCGTGCGGAGAAAATTCTGTGAAAATTTCAAGGAATGATATTGATTTGGTCTACTTCAAAAAAATAAAATGCGAGCGTAGATTTTTAAACACCGCAAACGAGATACGTGGTTTGGTAGTTTCACCGTCGATATGTAAATTCTCTTTTTGCACCATTCTGAAACATTGTGTCACAAATTTCAAAATCATACCCAATAAATAGTTTAAGATTATCCAAAATTAATTCGGAGGCCTCATAACTTGTAAATAACAGTCAAAAAAGTGTCAAGAATTTTCGTTTACTCATAAAGCCGCTTTTATAACGCTCTCTGGCGCTCTGCGACACCTAGCCGCCAGACTCCCCTATCCTCTCAAACTCCCGAATTTTCGTTTCTGAGCTAAAATTCATGGTCTGAAAAGAAGACTGATTCCAAATTTGAAGAGGCGTCGGTTTAATTGCTTATACAAGGAAATTTGACCGATAAAATAATTCACTGACTCCTTATACTATTCAAAAAGATAACAATGAAGCGTCTGGTTCGGTAATCAAAATAAGCAAATGCAAACTTGAAACGAAATCCCTCGTGTTCGAAATGAATGATTTTTCCGTCTATAACATTGTTTCACCTCGTGATCATAAAAGCTTTTAACTAATTCCTCTCTTCACACTTATTTTCGATCGAGAACTCTTTGAAAAAGTTATTTTGACTCATTTTATCCACCATCACACAAAACTGCTGCTTCTATACACGCGTCGAAGTCTATAATTCTTGGGTAAGTAAATCATATCGAGTACTAAAACTGGTGATTCATATGCATGTATGTGCTTAAATTGATTTATATGTTATCAAATTTCAAAATTGTTTGTTTAATGTCAAGCAAATCACTGATCTCATGTTGCAGTTCGTATTCAAAGATGCGTCGCATGGAGGACCTTCTCCATAATATTTTTGAGACTGCGGTAAAATTATTTTGAACACTTAATTGTTCTTGTTTGTTAATTTTGAAGGTATTCATGTGCGTTCAGTCAAATTAAGTTAAAAATTAAATTGATTCATGTTATTCTCATATATTTTACAAAATTTCAATCTTCCCTTGCTGGTGTGTAGTAATAATTTCACTCATGTAGTTTTTTATATTTTTGTTGGTTCGTTGTTTTTCACCGAGTTTTGCTTCTTAGTTTTTTTTTTTTTTTTTTTTTTGCAATTTCAGTAAGTATTCACTACGTCTATACTTTCTCATACTTCAGAGGACTAATCATTCAACCCTAATATTTAGTTAGCCTATTTTCCGTTCTTCTTTTTTCTGGTGATCCCGCGCGAGATTTACAGATTTTGGAGCATATTGAAAGTGTATTTACATTTCATCGAAGACGCACCAATCAAAGAAATAATTAATTATACATTCAAAAAAGGATTTAAAATAAAGTGTATTTCTATTGCAACTTTGAAATATTCTCCTATGTTGTCCTTTGAGAGAAAATTTATATGACCAAAGTATCTCTTTCAAATTTTCGACGATTATTTCTGAATGATTGAAAAAATTCACAGATAATTTCTAGAGAAAATATTGACTTTTTTTTACAAAAATAAAACATAAAGAGGAGCCTTGCAACGTCACAATTGTAAATACGTTTTTTCGTTTTTACTTATCAACATATCCATTGGATCTTGCTAGGTTGAAGCTCATTCATTATTTTTCTAGACAGGAGGCTCAACTGTGATGGATCGTATAGAATCAAACTCTAAAACAGCTCTTGACGCAGCACAACACACGGAGTCCACTAATTTTGATGAAAACTATGAGCCACACGACCACAAACCGACGGGTAAATCTGCCTCGTAAGTTGTCACAAATACAGAAACGTTGGGGCGCCCAAGACAAACAAATTGTATTCGTCAAGATAGAAGGCGCATCTTGCTTGAAGTCAAACACATGTTTGACTCATTCAGTTGTTTTGGCTGTCAAAGTCCGAAGATCAAAATCTCAAAATCGATTGAAAAATAAAACTGTAATAAAAATTAGTTGGGTAGGTAAACTTTTTAGTTCAACGTACATCTAACGGTTGAATAATTTAGTTCTCGCATGTCTATATCTGAAATGGAATATGGAATAACGTGTATCGAATGTTATTTTAATTCATTGATGCACAGATTTTTCTCATGTAACTTAAAGGATGACGGAGTTGGCATCTTGTTAATTCATCATCACATCCTTTCTTAATAGTGACTTTGTGGACCAAATTTCTGTTACTGACTTGTATCTGATTTTCTTTTCACGCTTCAATATTTTTAACAATTTCTATGCAATAACCAGAATAGCCCATCCAATTTTTCTCCTATTTTCTGCAAAGTTTTATGTATAATGCTGTGTTTGATTTGAGTAGACTAATTTTTAATTGATATTAAAAACCAATCCTCTGATTACAGCAAATATACTCTCGAATTGTCAAGGAAAAATTGTCCAAAATTAACACTATTCCAAACCTTTGTTCTATAGAAATTTTGCAGCAATATCACTTCTGATCAAATCTGTTGTCGGAACCGGGATCCTAGGAATGCCCAGAGCTTTCTACAATGCAGGCTACATTCTCGGAACATTCGGCACGATATTTATCGGAATAATAACAGCCACTACCTCTCATTTAATTGTAAGTTTCACTGAGTAGTTTTTCAAGAATAATATCATCAGACCTCAACACAAAACTCATAGAGTCACGGAAATCTATGGGGATAAAAAAATTTGAAGTCAATTTGATCCAAAATTGAAACGATTATTGGAAATAGGACTTTTAAAATTCCTTCTACCCCCATAAAACTAATTAACTTTTAAATCTGATTTATCAGTAAATCCCCTCCCACTCCTCTACACTCCCCTGTGTCTTCTTTTAAGACAATAATTGTTGGAAATTCAGAGATCAGAAAATACTTATAAAATATTAAGGGTTCACTGAAACTTATTTAGGATGAAAGATATGACAGGATGGTGTATTATTCATTGACGTCTCAACTTGTTGCACAACTGTTTTCACAGGCTGAATCGGAACACGAGTTGTGCAGGCGGAAAAGAATTCCTCGCATGACTTATCCTGAAACAGTCGAAGCGGCGTTTGAACAGGGCCCTCGAAATGTAAGACGATTTAAATATATTGCAAGGTAAAAAAAAAAAAGTTTGTAATTTCAATGAACTTAATTCAATTGGTAATTATAAGAGAAAAACTGTTTATAAAAATCATTCGCAATGGGTCTATCGTACACAAGATAAACATTGAGCAGTCAACTGAGTACTTTTTCAACATGTAAAATCGTGCGAAAGTCACACGTTGAGGCTCTGCATAATTTAAAATATCTAAAATCCACTCTTGAACGCACAAATTGCGTAGTCTGTATCACGGGTTTTTCACATTCACCTTCCAAAGTGGTTAGTTTTTTTTTTTACCGTGTGCAGTCTACTATATACGCTCAGAGAGAGCAAGGAGGTTGGATCACATTCATCATCGAGGAAAAGAAGGCCAAAAATTGCTATAGAATTCAAAATTTTGATTTCTAATGAGTATCAATGCAAGACTGAGAAGGAGAGTGTTCATTTTAGACAGATGCATTGGAATATTAAGTTGAGGGCACGCTGAGAGATGTATAGCAATTTGGGTACTTTTAGACTTCGTCAGTAGATCACTCTGGTAAAAGAGAGACCAGAGAGAGAGGACAACCTACTACTAGCAATGAAACGAACAATCCTGCAAGACCTTTCAACCTTATTTAGGGGGTTGTTTTCTCCTTATTTATCTACACTATAAAAACTAATGTTGCGAATTAGTTGAAAACAAACAAAAGAAAAATGTGGATCAATTTGCGATATTCTTTGTTTATTGTTAAGTTCAGGTTTTTTACATCTCTCTCTGAAGAAACCTAATTTCCGGTGACTAAAAAAAACTGCTCCTGGACATGGTGAATTTGAAAAAGTACAATACGAGTAATGCGCTAATAATGCGTCAAAAGAGCGGATTTGAAGATGTGCTCAACGTGCATTCAGAGCAATTTGTATACGTAGAGAGTATTTACCTGGTTGTATCCTATCCACCCAACAGACTCGTTGCAATCCGTTTGCGATGGAACAACTTAATTCGAATTTTACTGTAATTAAGGAATGAGAAATGTTAAGAAGTTCATGATTAATTGTGTTAATTAACAGTATAAAATACTTGCAATGGTTCCTTAGTAGAAATGGGGAGTAATTTTTGCTAATAGTTGATTGATGCAACCAAACAACGCCTTATGAAAATATCAGAGTGAAAAACAAACGTTAGAATTCAGGAAATTGAAGTTCTACACAAACTGCACGAGTTCAATTTCACCTTCTTAAATAGACAGATGATCATACATGCATTTCTGGACCGAGAATAGTAACTAAAAAAATGAAATTTTTAATTTTTAGAGTGATCTGCAGTTCGTTTTTGGTGATGATGGAGTTCAGCGGTGGCTGTGTGTATTTGATTTTCATCGCTGAAAATATTAAAGAGGCAAGCTTTTATTTACACGAATAATTGAGTATCCTTCCAAAAAGGTTTTTATTGATTTGTGAAACGGTCACTAGACATAGAAATTAAAATCCACTGGCAATAAATTTTTTCAATTTATCTGACTGGTTAAGCAATATTCCGGAATGCTTCACCCAGAAATGGTTGAGTTCAAAGTTTTATTTTGAGGTCTAAATCATGTTCCAGAATTAAATGAGCCATTTGAAGTTAGAAATTGTCGCCTCCAGCTGAAATATAACTCGGGAAAACCGTTTTTTCTTGTCCCCCTTTTTTTACTCGGAGCTTAAGTGTATTAAAGTGTAGCAAAAGGTCAGATATTTGGAATCGGATGTTTGTTCAAAATATTACTCACAAATCTAGGTATCGAGAGAAAAGATAAAAATCAAGCTACGATTATGTATCAACTATTTTGGCTGTGTTACTCATGTAGCCCTCAAAGCACTGATACAATTAAGACAAACAGATCCAACACAACATTAAATTACAGTAAGGGAGAGGACGTGCGTAGATGACGGCGCAGAGATACAACTATAGACCGTATTCGATAACGATCCGATGTATCGTTTGGTTCAAAACAATGGAACATAACCTCAAACTAAACTAAAAGGATTTAAGTTGGAAAAGCTGAAAATGAGAACATTCCTAATAATTTCACATTACGTTGCCATTTGGTACGCAAAAGAATAAAAAATCTGTTACAAAAGACCCGTTCCCTCAGATTTCTGAATTTACTTTTGAGGCTATGTTTATGTTTTGAACCAATCGATATCGATACAATCTCACCCGTTTGATGTATCGAATACGATCTATTCGTGCTTGATGGATGTCCGTGATGCATCTGCCAAATGGGCCTGTTGCATGCAAGAGATACAGCCGTGCGAATAGAGTTTATAGAGGTTAAATGACACGAAAATTACGATGGTCACATTAAAAAAGTCTGAAATACACTCCTTACTGCGCAATTTGCGTTGTTAGGAACGCGCTTTTTCAAATTTCCCGCGTCTGGGGGCAGTTTTCTAACGGCAACTCGCGGCTATTTCCGGTCAACTAAAACTGACAACATAACCTAAAAATCGGAGCTCGTGATATCGTGAAATGAAATGTAGAAGGATTGCGTTGGATATTTAAAAGTTGATCGATTTCGTTATCACATAAAGCGTACATGGACCACTATAAGAGATCACGTTGGGTTTGTAAACAAACTGAAGGAAAAAATAACAACAAAAACAACGCCTCGGCATCTTCCGGAAATCACCGAGCCCGCCGTTTGCTCGTTTCCGGTGATTAGAAAACTGCCCCCAGACGCGGGAAATTTGAAAAAGCGCGTTCCTGACAACGCAAATTGCGCAGTAAGGAGTGTATTTCAGACTTTTTTAATGAGACCATCGTAATTTTCGTGTCATTTAACCCCTAAAAAGTCTATTCGCGTGGCTATATCTCTTGCATACAACAGGCCCATTGAAGGCACTATGGAGCGAGCAGGAGTATACTCGCAATGCTCCACCCTGTGTCGCTCAGAACGAGGTCAGATTACGTTTCTCCTATCTTCGGCTGTGTGGACACTCGATTTTTCCTTTTTTAAAGACCTTCACGTAGAGTTATAGTGTACATATATTATGGTGCAATACTTTTTGTCCAACACTAACCAATCTAGAGAAAATGAGTGAGCTCGGGAGAGAGCAATTACTGCATCAGAATTTGTATACGTTCGCAAACCAACTATTTTTGAACGGAGGTAAATGCATCATACGCCCTCCGTGAGAATCAAGAGAAGAAACTGCTTTATTTTAGCTAAGCTGGCTCAGTATTATTCACCTAGGCCGTACACAAACATGATTAAGTGAAACTACATCTATCACTACATTTGAATGTAAAATGGACATATTTCTACCAAACAGACCTATGTGGAGGTGAGAAATATGGGGTGTGCTCTAGAAATCTGCATAAGAAACAATGTAAAAGTGGGCGTGGTTCCTTTTGAAGAATTGGAAAAGCGGGATATTGCATTCTATCAAACAGACCTATGTGTCAACTGGGTGCGGAACTCATGAGCCGCGGGCATGGCAAGAAAGCGTTGTGGACAGGGCTCATGAGTTACAGCGCCCCGACGATGATCCCCGGCTCGTGCGTGGTCTCCTTCATTGCCGCTGACGTCACTGGCGCTTTATTATTCTCATTCACTCGCCACGCAAGAGAAATAACGAGCACACCCCATATTTCTCACTTCCACATAGGTCTGTTTGGTAGAAATACGTCCAAATATAATTTTGAAAACCCAAGTATCTCCACGATTAACCTTCCAGTTTCGCTCAGTTTAGTAATTTTGTACTTTTTGCAGGTATGTGACCATTTATTTTCTCCAGCACCGCTGAAATTTTACCTGATCTGTCTTCTTGGGCCACTCACTTTGTTATGCTGGATAAAAAATCTAAAAAATTTGGCACCCGGGGCAGCAATAGGCACTAGTTGTGCCACAGTTTGTATTGGTGCCGTATATTCTTTCATTTTTTCAGAGCCAATTTCGTTGGAGGGAAGAAAAGCAACTGGATCACTCAAGAGTTTTGCCCTTTTCTTCGGCACGTCTATGTTCGCACTTGCAGCTTTCGCAGAAGTAAGCAAAATATTTCAGAAATTTTTAATTTAGTTTGTTCAATCGTGTCATGAGGTAGGGAAAAGCAGGGCCGAGTTTAGGGGGTGGCCACATGGGCCCATGGCAGCAAAAGGGTGCGGCAAATTTTGCAATTTTTTTTAAATGTGGTAAGAAAATAAATAATCGGATACAGCAAAAAAATTACAAACGAGAAAAGGCGACAAAATCTCTCATTTCCTGAGGGTATAGTAATTTCTAATCGTGTCGTCTTTCGGTGATACAAGGGACAGCGTCATTAATTAGTTGAGTCAAGAGAGAAACCAAACACCCAATTTGGCCTAGAAAGGCCGGCGCAGGGAGCAATGATGACTAGGACTTGAGATGAAAAGTAGAAATCCTCGGCGCGGCGCGGCGATCGGCATGTAACACATATTAGCGCCTACAAGACTACATGAATACTTCACGCATTGCGTCAAACGCAGAGCGGTCAGCAGCGCAGCGGTCGGCGTGGAACGCACAGCGCCTACGAGACTGCAGGAATACTTCACGCATTGCGCCAAACGCCAATCACACTGCGCAGCTGCGGTCAGAGCGGCGCGGCGCTGCGGAGAGAGTTAACATTATTAAACCACATTTATGTTTGTTCTTTCATAATTTTTTCGTTCATTTCTTGTTATGGAAGGCCTTGTTCACACAGAGATATGATTACAGAACTTAACTTTTGCGCAAAGTTCCGTGAACTTTTGCTAGTAGCGTTGACAGGGCTTTCGCAAAAAATGTGTCCAACACGAGTAACCGCGTCTTATGCACCCCTTTCCCTCCGGCACGTTCACTCGATGGCTTTTCTTGATGTTTCAAAACGAAAGAGAAGGGGGCGGCAAAATACAGGCGGTCTATGGGCGGCAAGTACGTAAATCCGTCCTGGGGGTAAAGTGCATTTATATAATCAAGTTGCAATTATTTGAGCTATTGAATGGTTAATGATGAATGTAGGGGTTTCAATATATTCATTTCTTTAAAAATCTTACGCAACAAAATCTTTGTTCACATTACAATTTTTTTTGTACCAAAGAGGAGGACGATCTCTTTATCTAAAGAGGATCTTGCGTATTCTCATGAATAATAGAGTTCTCATACTTCTGAAATAATAGCTTGCTAGTGGACTGTGAATCGAAGATCGTGAAGGTACGCTAATATGTAATGCACAACAAAGGTTGCAATAATCCGTTGCAACTTTTTTTCTGATGACCAACTCTATGAGTTTTTTTTATGAGAGGAGCAGCAGCCATTTTATATTTTACAATGAAGGTTTCTAAAAATGTGTTTCTTCTACAATAATAATACTTCACACTTTACGATTTTTTGCACAGATAATGCCCATAAAAAACAGAATGACGAAACCGGCAAATTTCACCTCGGTTTGCGGTGTTGTCAACGTAGCGATGGTTTCGATCACACTTCTCTACCTCACCATGGGAATCTTTGGGTATTTAGCTTACGGAGCAAACACCCAAAATCCCATTACACTGAATCTGCCACAAACTGGAATGTGAGTTCAAGTTAACACCTTCGTTTTCCCAAAATATAAATACTATTTTCAAGGGGAAACATGGCAAAGAAGCATATTCTATCCGCAACGATGCCATTTACATGTGCATGCATGCGTTAGAAAATGTACGTAATTAGTTCTTTGCGAATCAATTTGTGTCTGATAGAATGACGTACTGCGGTCTGGTTATTGGAACTGATTGACAAACAAGATAAAAGGAGAATGGAGCGATCCTATTGGTTGAGACAGGTGGTTTTTGTAGACTGAAGGATTGAAGTGAAAGACCCATACATTAGGATCTCTCTTGGGTTGCCGTTAATAAGTCCAGTACTTATCTTCTTCGTCTATCGTAATCATCCGCCTCCACCAATGCAATCACTCCATTATATTTTTATCCTCTTCGTCTGTTACGACGTCTACTAATAATTCCAATGATCAATTCGTAGAACTCTTCGACGGGAGAGAAACCTGAGGCATCGCAAGTTATGCTAAGTACAACTCGTTTCATGGTATATTTTTTGAAAACCGTAACACTAAACCTTATTTTTTCGACTCAATATATTTGACGTTAAAGTATTTTTGCACCATCAGATGCCAGGTAAATTTGTGTTTCTTTTGCCAACCTCTGAATATCGATATGGTCGCATTTCTTTCTTGAGAGATGTTTTTTCTGGACATACCTCTTTAAAGTTTGAAATTAGTGAAAGACCAAATTTGTAAAATAATGAAACTTTTCAGCATCGGTGATTTGATTTGCGGGCTACTGGCTGGTTCCGTCTTTCTCAGCTTTCCTATCGGATTTTACGTTGTTGTCGAGGAACTTTGGCACAAGAATTTAAAGTTGAAATTTGGCCACTCGAAATATTTGGATCAATGGGAGTACGGAATTCGAACGGTTCTAACATTCACTACAGGTACGTCACATGATTACAAACATACATACATACAAGTCGCTTTACAGCACTCCCTCGCGCTCTACGACTCCTAACCTCCACTGCTCTCTTTCAAACCACAAATCTTGGGGGATTGAGCACCTTAACATTTCTGCTTCAATCCCGTCCCTCCAACCTTTCATTGGGCGCCCTCTGCGCCTTCTCCCAGGAGGAACCCAGTCAAGGACCTTCTTCGGCAACCTGTCTCCTGCCATTCTCTGGACATGACCATACCAGATGAGTTGTTTTGTCATAATGTCATGCACGATTACAAACATACAACATGGCATTATCAAACAAGCAACTGCTCTCCATAAACTCTCTTTTTTAAAGTCTCTGGGTCAATGATGCTCCATTTTTACTGGAACCATTAGGTGCATTTTTTTGACCGAATAGCATACAAACTTGTAAATGAAATCTGACTGATACCATTTTTGCAAACGAAACAGCTATCAGAAGTTGAAGACGGTTAACTGCCAGCAATCAGCGATTTGATCAGCGATCGTCACAATTTGAACTGATTGCATTGGGAAGTCAATTCAAAATCTGGAGTATGATACAAACTGCTACCACTGGAATGAATCAAAATTTGTCTGAAGGAATTTTTTTTGGCTAACAAAAGTTGGTATTGTTTTCACATTTTTGACTTCAGAGACTTAATTTGTTGACGTTGATTTGTTTTCAGTCCTCTGCTGCATTGCGATTCCTAACCTAGAGCTTTTCATGGCACTTGTGGGTTCTCTGATGATGCCCGCCGTAGGCCTGTGGTTTCCGGCTATCATGCACATTCTTACGTTTTGGAATGAGTACACCGGATTTAAACGTGTTCTCTTAATTTTTAAGATTTCCATTCTCATATTTACCGGTATGTTTGCTCTCGTTGTCTCTGTATCCGTCACCCTTCTCGAAATTTATGAGACAGTCCTCTAATTATAATAATTTCTCGCTCCTGCATCAAAACCATGCTATCTATCTCAATTGCAATGAATCATCACACTTTTCCAAGCCTCTACGTCAATTCAGCGACCCATTACTTTATGGAGGGGAACTCTGTCCACCGATTTTAGGTGTCAGTATAATGAACAGGGATGTACCGTTTTTGAATCTTTTACTGTCAACATTGCTCATAGTGTTACGTACTCTGTATTCTCTGATTCTGATAAAAACTTCCAACAATGTTCTCAATTTTTTTTGGAAATCCAGAAACCAAGTCACCGTATTTGACTTACGAAGTTGTAATTTAGTGCAGCAGAATAATTTTTCCAAGTTTAGGTAGCCTTATTTAATGAGTAAGGTCGTATGATTTTGGCACTGAGGTCCCAAGTTCAGTTCCCTGAGATCGTAGAAGTTCATGAGAATACTCATAAATTCGTCATATATGCTGTGGATGACAGTATACCACTTCAATATCCTTTCTGTCTAAAAGGAGTCAGCGACGCGGAATAACATAGTCACCCAGTGATTACTCTCATACATAAGCTAGCCTAATATTTGAGTAATTACTGGGTGCCTATACCTTCAATATGGTCGTATTTCTATCAAACGGAACTATGTTCATCAAGACATGAGCCCTGAGACCCATGAGCATAAGTGCATAATAGGGCTCATGTCATAATGAACATAGTTCCGTTTGGCAGAAATAAGTCCAATTGTAGCTCTCCAATCCAGTTATTTCAAGTTTTACTGAAACTCTTTTAGAACAAGGCATAGTCTTCACACCTGTTTAAAATATTTTTCCCACATTGATACTTCAAGGTATGATGTAAGTATTCTGAAAAAGCTAAGAATTTACGTGCATAAGATCCATTTTCATGAGGCGCTCTGCATGAGAAAAACTCGAAAAATCTGAAGTGGAGTGCCAACGTCTGGATTAGTGCGTCAAACTAGTCGATCTGATGTGATAAAACCGTGGACCACATCTACACATCTTGAACTACATTTATATCTTCTGAAGTTCATCTTGCTCTTAGGAACTACTAATTTTGGCTTACTCATAAAAGTACTCATCTGTCTCGGGAAACTAGTGACGTGCACATTGTTTGTACTGTAAAATGAGCCAAAAATTGTAGTTTTGTATGTATAAGCCGCTTTTACGGCGCGCTAGGGCGCTCTGGATTTGAGAGGGCGTTCTGCGGTGCCCATCCGCCACAGGAATCTGTCATGGTAAAGATCTTCTGGAAAGCTGGCATCTCTCAATCTATTCACGGATGCCCTCTACCCACCGTTTGGCTGGACGCCCTCTCCGTTTCCTACCTGGGAGGACCCACTCCAACACCTTCTTCAGCAACTTTGCAAAATTGTAGTTTTCTATCGCAAAATGTATCGTCGCTCCTTTGACGTAAGGGCGTATTTCCATTTTCGCGTGAGCCCTGTGCTCCGTATAATCATATGCTCTCCGAAGCTCACGTTGAAATCGAGGTACCCCCTGAAGTCAGAGGAGCGACGATCTATGCTTGGCTGCTTGCGTTATCCTTGTAACGGGCGAGAGATGCAGATGAATGCCACCTCTGTGTACCCTGCGAATCTGTGCCAGAACCTTTTTTCCCAGATGACTCAAGGTCCATCTGGACGTATTTACGCTAAAAGGAACTATGTGCATAGGGATTGCATGTGACATAGCTCCTTTTAGCATAAATACGTCCATCTGATACTTTCAAGAGTCTGGAGGTGGTGGATGGCTACGTACGGTCCATGGTCTCACCTCTTGAGAAAATGGTTGCAAGAACTCCCTAGCTACGCCCATGATCCTCAATGCGGGAGAGGATACGCGTGATGCACCGGGGAGGGGGGGGGAGGACGTGTCACCGTTTCAGTTAACATAATGAGATGCGTGTCGTCTATTAAAATGCCTTTTTATCTCCATCAAACTAATAAATAACAGATATTAGTTACGGATTGCATTAATTCACACATTTTCAAGTGGTTCATTCAGTGAGTAAGCTATAAGATTTCCAAAAACAGCAGTTTACGTCTTATTTTGTCCGATGGCGAGGCGTGAATTGGACTGAATTTTAGCAATTGAGAACTATAAATTCTGGCTCATCTGGAAAAACACTTATGTGTACAGGGAAAATAATGGCACATACGTTGTTTTTAAACCGGGCTAGAATTTATAGTTCCAATTTGCAAAATGTAGTCCAATTATCGATTATCCATATTTCCCCATTTAAAACTATGGTAAAGTCTCGAATTTTAGGTGTTCGTTGCTAGCACCTCGTTCATCGATCCTTTTCCATAGATTTAAATGACAGATCAATCGATACATCGCAAAACAAGTCACGCCACTGATTTTGTCGTGTAAGGAGATGATCGAACCAATCGTAAAAGTTGGAGCGCATGGAGGATAGGTGGCAATGCGCCGCGCCGCGATTATGATGAGGGTAACAGAAAATTATGAAAAAAAGTTCTGAACGCCAATCATAGTTTTCAAACGAGACTGAAAGAACAAAAATCGGACGACTAGTCTTCGAGATAAAGCGCGCTGCAAAAAAATCACCGAAAAAATTAACAGCTGCTTTAGTATTTAAATTGTTGTTGTTACAATATAAAAATGCTGACACAACATTAGAATTTGTTCGTTTTACAGTAGGCGTAGTTAGGTTAGCATTTCTCCGATGGTAAAATCAGAATTTGAATCTTGTCGGACATGTTTTCAACAATATAAATGCTAAATGAACACTTAATTTTCTTTCCCGTGAATGCTCGGGGTCCATCTTTAACGATCGCCATCTTGGTCCCTGTCAAAAAATAAAGAGCTCACAGTCTATATGCTTCCAAATTGCACCATCCTCCAATAAAGCGGTCCTCAGCTTGATGGAATTTTTTGTCGGAACATCTGGGGTTGGAGATCAAAGACGAAGCCGCATGCGTTATCGTAGTAAAGTATAGTGCCATGATAATTATTGGACCTCAAATGAAAAACAAAAGTTTAATTGAGGTATCAAAAATAAAGGATTCGCGACTGCTCTGCTTCGTAATTGCATCATCAGTTGAATTTGAAGCGGAAACGTCCCCTTGTACTTATGGTGCCATGATAACGAAGATCGGATGCAAGTGCTTTGTAACGTAGTGGTTCCATCGTTACTTCTATCCGGCAGTACAGTGAGTGGCGTTTGGTAGGTAGTGTCTACTTCCATGTCTATTTCATCACGGATAAAAAAAAGCACGAGTTTGTTGTGTGATATGGACATTTCCAATTAGTTGTGGTAGTACACGAACTAATTGTGGTAGTACACGAATTAATTGTAGTAGTACACGAACTAATCGTGGTCGTACCCCAATAAATTAGGTTACTAACCCAAATGTTCCGGTTCTACCACAATTAATTAGGAATGTCCGTATCATCCAAAAAAATGTGGTATAGTACCACAGTTTTAGGGGATAATCCTTAACGCTTTTTTCCCGTGATACCTAGAAGTCTGCGGGCTGATTGTTGAAATTGATAGACAAAGTTATAGATGAAGAAAACAAGTGGATATATGGAGATCCTCTCGGTGGAAGCGGGTGGTTGCGATGAATAAAGGAGGTAGGTATAGACTAACTAACGGCAACTCACGAGAGGCCCTTTAGTTAGTCCATCATTTTCTCCCTTAGTTTATAACAACCACCCAAATTAACCAATAAGGTTGTTCCATACTCCTTATGTCTTCTTTGTCTATTGGTTTGTGTATCAATTTCAACAATCAGCCCGCTGGTTTTCCGTATCTTTTAGCGTCACGCATAGTTCAGCAGCGGGCTTATTGCCCAAATTTGTAAACAAAGCTATAAACAAAGAAGACATAAAGGGTATGGAGCGAACCCATTGGTTGAAATGGTTCGTTCCTATAAACTAAGGGAGAAAATTATGAACTACACCGGGAAAAAAAAAGAAAAGAAAAATGCTGAAGTAACATTCCGGATATTAAAAATCTGCGCGATAACTCTTGAATGTTGATATGAACGCTACGGTTGTTAATTCGACATAGCTAGGATGTTACTTTAACAGCCAGAGTATTCATAACAACATTCAAGAGTTGTCGCGCAGATTTTTAACATCCGGGATGTTACTTCAGCAACTTTTTTTTTCGGTGTAACGATAGGGTCTCTCGTGGGTTGCCGTTAGTCAGTCTTTTATGTACCTTCTTTGTCCATTGCAACCACCCGCTTCCTTCAATAAGATCCCTCCATATCCCATATGTCTTCTTCGCCTATAGCTTTGTCTACAGATTTCAATAATCGGTTCACTGGAGTCAAGGAGTTAGCGGAGGTTCTCTCCCTGCCTTTGTCATTGGCAGATCCAGCAAGTTGACAACATTGGTTCCTCTTCATTTAAACCTATAGAAATGTATCGATTCTCGAAGGAGCCTGCGGGCTAATTGTTGAAATGATAGACCTAGCTATACACAAAAAAGACATATGGAGTATGGAGCGATCCTATTGGCTATTGGCTGGATGTCTCACCATTGCATTGATAACGTTACATGGGCCAGCACTTGAAATGAGAGGAAGAAAGGGGGGCTGTCAGGTAAAGTCGTTACACTTCTTTAATCGACGAACCAAACGGCTGAAAAGTCGCATGCGCCGCGTTTTTCAGTCCACCGACTGCTCAACTTGGAACTGGTCTTCTCGCTGGAGGATTTGAGACTGTTATCTCTCCTTGGTTGCAACAGAAAGATCAATTTTTTCCAAGAGGGAGAGAGAGAGGTAGAGAGGGAGAAAATGGTACAATTGGACTGCATTTTGCAATTTTCAACTATAAATTCTGGCTCTTCTTGAAAAACACCTATGTGCATAGGGAAACTAAAGGCTCATACGTTGTTTTTAAACCGGGCTAAAATTTATAGTTCCAAATTGCAAAATGTAGTACAATTATGGAACGTTGTCCATGAGACAGAAAACTTGGTAGCCCCCTGACGGTTAGGCAACCCGCAACAATTAATCGCCAATCAACACGCGGTTGCCATACCCAGGAAGTAAACCAAACCCAACCGTTGCCTACGAGAAATCAGATTAAATCAGATCGAGTTAAATCAGATTTTTCTGCACGATTTTACAACACCGGTGACGTCATAGCATGAAAACACGGTTACCAATTTGGGCCATTATATCCTTACCCAGCGCACGACAACGCTCGGCAACGCCCATCGTTAATTCGGATTTTTCTGCACAATTTGGTCAATTGTTGGCCGCATATCCTCATATTTACATTACTAATGAATTAAATGGCACCCACCCATTTTTAGGGTTCACATCTTAAGAAAATGGATCGAAGTAAAACATCCAACCCCACCGAGTTAAATGTGGTAGACGACATGGATTCTTCGGATTTTGGTGAAAATTACGAGCCGCATGACCACAAACCACTGGGCGAATCAACTTCGTAAGTTGCAACTTTTTTAGCATGCTAGGTAGTCATGTTCTACGTTCATTAATTTGAGGCATCTATCACTCAGGTCAAGCACACGGTTATTTTTAATATTCAGACACCTCAAACATGTCCCTAGAAATTGTAGAGCACCATTTTTTGGTCCCATTTGAAATAGGTAATTTCTTTGGTACTGAAATATTCCTTAAATGTGCATGGAGATTATTTGTTAACTTGCTGATTTTGCGTAGTCAATTCTGTGGTCACGTATGAGGGGAGACCCAAAAAACCGGAATTTTGCCTTAAATTGGCAACGATGGAAAATTACCGGGTTTCACTGCTGTGGGATGTAACTAGGAGCTATGAATATGCTAAAAATGCTAAAATGCTAAAAAATGTGCTACGGCGTTGCAAATTTGGCCTGGTGCCTACTCATAGCTCCCAGTTACACGTCCTAGCAGTACTGCCATGCTAAGGAAGAACACCGTATGAACTTTCAGACGCTGCCAAATTTCCTTTAATGAATCACAAATTTCCTGGTAAACTTATGAATATTTTCCTTCCAATTTTTCAGATAATTTACTCGCAATTTAACATAAACTTCCCGAAAATTTCAAGGAAAAATATTGATAACTTTTCTTAAAAATACATATTTTACCGAAGGAAATTCGGCAACTCTCGAATGTTCATACGGCGTTCTTCCTCAGCACGACAGAGTAGAACTCCGAAAATTTCCACCGTTGCCAAGTTAAATCAAAATTCCGTTTTTTGGGTCCCCCCTCGTAAGATACTCTCCTGAAAATATATAAATTGAACCGCTCGCTTTAACAGATACTGTGAAACATTGTCACTTCTGGCCAAGGCATGTGTCGGAACCGGAATTTTTGGTATGCCGAGGGCGTTTTTCAACGCAGGCTACATCCTCGGAATTGCTGGTACGATACTTGCTGGAATAGCAACGAAAACCAGCATGCATCTAATAGTAAGTAAAAATCGCAAATAATTATGGCCTGAGGACTGTACACTGATAAAAATCGAGGAGTGAAATAGATCGTATTGGATATTGGTTCGATGTATCGTTCGGTTTAAAACAAAAGGACATAACCTCCAACAAAAGTTTTAGGATTTAAGTAGGAAAAGCTGAAACCCGTTCCCTCAAATTACTCAATTGACTTTTGAGACTATGCTATGTTTACATGTTGAACCAATCGATATCGATAAAATCTTACGTATTTAATGTATCGAATACGATTCATTTGGTGAATAGTTCACACTTGAGTTTATTGAGCGCCTAAAGAACCTGAGCGATTGGAATGCGAAATGACATTCGTTCCATAAGAGCGTATGGAACTTCTTTAAAAGGGTACATTCCTCTCTGCAGGAGTGTAAGTGACTCCGTGAAGAGAATTAATTTTATCTCGCATTCATATCACTCAGATTTTTTGGGCTCTTCTAGACGGCGGCACCAAATTTCACACTAAAATTTGTAACAGTGTAAGTAACGAAGTGAAGGAATAGTGCAGAATCTACACTACTCTAACGGACTGACTTGAGTGAAAGGAATGAAACATTGTAATCGAAGATTAATAAATAAATGCAACTCAAAACAGCTTTGAAAGGTCCACTTGAAACGCTCCAGAGTCCTTTCTGGAAACTCTAAATCTAATTTCTCAAATTTTTTGGCTCAATAATTTTTCCCTTTGAATGGTGCCGTCAGCATTATTCTGTTATCTAACAGTAAGTTTCGCCGCAAGTAGCTCCTCTTTAGCTGATAAATTGAACACATTACAGGGTGATTCAGGGTTAACGGCCAGACTGCAGGAGCGTGTTTAATTGGTTAAAATGAGACCTTTTTGGTGTCTAAAGTTTTTTTCCAAAAAAGCCCTCAGTTGGAGCTACGAGCCCCCAAAAATTTCGGAAAGTGATAGTTTTACCTGAATTTTGACAACGGGTGTGAACCAAAGCTCATGAAAATTTGTACTTTTCTGCCCTGCATTAACAAGATATCTAAAAAAAATATCAAAATCTCAATTTGGGGGTGTTTCGGCTCCCGTAGTCTGGCCGTTTAACCCTGGATCACCCTGTATATCTATCTTAATCGATTCAAATTTCTGTTGTCATGAAATTATAATGACAAAATATAACGATACATCTTCTACGAGACAGCTATGGGCAAAAACGTGCAAAAATTGTGAATTTCTCATCGTAGGTCATCAAATTTTCTTGCTAAAATTGTAAAATTGTCACAGGCAGAATCAGAGCACGAGCTGTGCAAGCGAAAAAGAATCCCGCGTATGACTTACCCAGAGACAGCCGAGGCGGCATTTGAGCTGGGCCCAAGGAGTGTGAGAAAATTTAAAAAAATTGCAAGGTAAAATGAATAGTTTGTACCTCTTTAAATGATAACTGAAAAAGCAAATCCATAAGACTTAACAATGCTTATCATATAATAAAATATTTCAACACAAAGATGAAAAATTTCGAAAAATTCTGGATTTATGTAAAGTTTAAGATTAGAATGTTTATCTTGCGGGAGACTCCTGCCTTTGAGATTAGTAGAAGCAGAACACTTCTATTTTAAACAGATTGATGAGCGCTCCGTGGAGTCTCTACACTGAAAAAAATAGTTATGCTCTTAAGGCTCCTGCACTCCTTTTGTAACAGTCACAGAAACTTCCGATATGAGGACAGAGTACTCTGTTCCCACGAGCCACGACCGAAGTTCTGTTCTCACGACAGAAAAATTCTGTGAGATAACAAAGAAACTGCAGGAGCCCTGTGAACAGAAGGCTCTGTCGTCAGCACCATCTATTTTTTTCTGTGTAATGTAGTAATACTCGAAGTGGTGGTAAATCGAATTCATTACGCTCCAAAGTATCTATTCTATTACTATATTTCTGGTAAAATAATGTTATGTTTTATGATTTAATGGTAAGTATCGTTTAATTTTCAGGATAGCTTGCAGTGCGTTCCTACTAATGAACGAATCTGGTAGTTTTTGTGCACATCTGATTTTCGGCGTTGAAAATATCAAAGCGGTACGTCAAAAAGCAGTTTTGAGAAATTGCTAAAGAATAAACTAAAAATAAGTCCAGTAGATATCGAGCTACTGTAGAAGATCGATACGACGTTGCAGATATTGGACTACATTTTTGTTGACAAATCATCGATGTCTTACCTTCTGATAATAAATGAAGTGAGAAGATTGAATAATGGTCGTAGGTATAAAGAACTTTCCTAGCTTTTCTCGGAAAAAAATATTTAATTGAGAGAAACGAGGCAACGTTGGATTGCTCATACGGCGTCGAAACACAACATAGGCTTTTTAAGCCCTATTATTCGATGCCACGATTATTCTAACGCGAGCTCCAATAATCGCGCTGAACACAGTGCGGCCGGCGATAAACGTATATCAGCGCCTGCAAGACAGGAGGAATACTTCTCGCATTGCGCCCAAGAGTACGGTCGGTGTAAGGCCCATATAAGCGCCTACAAGACTGCATGAATCCTTCTCGCATTGCGCCAAACGCAGTGCAGGCGGTTAGTTGGCGTGAAACGTAAATTAGTGCCTACAAAACTTTAGAACTTTACGACTGCGTGTCATCACTCTAGACTTTTTGATCCCGTTTTTACCATAATTAAAGGGAAAACATGTATCATCATTGTAACGATTCAGAAACTGGGGTGATATTTCATCCGTTTTTGGTTACATTAAAAGAAAATAGAACGAACGGAAATATCGCGTCGAAGTTTTCAATACTTTTATTTGAGACCATTTACGTAAATGTGCGGAAACTTTTTAGAAAAACTGTGTGTAGCTTTGAAAAAATGTATTAGAAATAAAACTTAAAAGTTGTGCATAACGTTGCAATCAGAAATGAATAGACGCTTTCTTTGGGATGACCCGTCGGGTTCTGAATCCATTCATCTCCTTAAGAACTTGAACATGGTTGTTCTGTAATTTTCTAAGTGCAGTTTTTTCAATGGTCGGCGGCCACATGTTTGAATGTCTTTAAAAGCTCTCTGGTTCATTCGTGCTGCAAGGGCTATCCATAGAAGAGAGACATGCCTGTAAGTGAGAAGAAAATGAACAGTCTTCCGCGATCTAGTTATCCACCACATACTACCAAGACTGCTAGATTAATGCTTCCTCATTGAATATTGAATATTCGCGCAAACATGGGAGTTTTCAGTACCCGAAAAAATCGTGCAATCCTTTGAATCTCCAAAAAGGTAAAAAAGGGGGCATTCGCGCAATCCTATTGCTGCCCTGTTATTTTGGACGACCAGCTTAGAAGTATGGTTGATCTTAATTACCTTTAAAAATTTTCCTGGCAAGTCTTGCCTACTTCGCGTAATACATCAAGTTTTGTATTGCTTACAGATCTGTGACCACTTATTTTATCCAGCATCGCTAAGATTTCATCTGCTTCTTCTGCTCGGCCCGTTTATATTGCTGTGTTGGATAAAAAACTTAAAGCATCTGGCACCTGGGGCAACAATAGGCTCTGGCTGTGCCCTTGTTTGCATTGGTGCCGTATATGTTTTTATCTTTTCGCAGCCAATCACGTTAGAGGGAAGAAAGGAGATTGGGTCACTGAGACCTGTTGCCTTATCTTTTGGCACCATAGTTTTTGCACTTGGAGCTTTCGGAGAGGTACGTTTATAAAAGTGATCCTAACAAAATGATGATCTTAATTTTGTTAGGATCTCCGTTTGGTCATATACGTAGGATACATATTGCAATCGCAAAGAGAATATGTTCGACATATTTTAGCGCAAACCACAAAACTAACACTCACACCGTTTGCGAGATATTGGTTTTTAAAGATTTGGAAAAATGGAAACTTTGCCCCACTGCCCCCCACTTTTTATTAGTCCAAGGGAGACGGAATTTTAATTCGGCAGCGAGGAAAATTAGTGCAACAAACTGTGGGGGGGGGGGAGGGGCGAACCCTTTTTGGAACGACGAGCCTTTCTTCGAATCTTACAAATTGTTCCAAGATTCTTACTTACCTTTTGTTCGAGTAAGTATCAAATATTTGTGGTATGAGAAATATTGCCCTGCATCTCACGAAAATTTCATGAAAGGATAAATGCATAAAAGACTCGGTAAAAATTAATTTTTTTCTGTTCTTCTTCGGGATTGTATGCATTGTACGTGTTTGTCTCAATTTTACAAAGAATGTCTTTTGCCTTCTCATAATAATTTGTCTCTTTCTATTGTTTTTCTGTAGAAAAGCTCTTTTCCAATAGATAGGTGGCTCTTTTCTCTATAATCTGCATGTTTAATGAAAAAGATGCTGTCTCAGTCCCAGTTGCTGCCTCTTTTAATCTTGAGAGGAGAAATATGAGAATAAACCACTATGTGTACATGAAAATTTTTGTCCTCACTATAGTATATGCCAATAAAAAACAGGATGACTGAACCGGCGAAGTTTGCATCGACATGTGGTGTAGTCAACGTTTTAATGATCCCATTCACGGTTCTTTACGTCATCATGGGATTTTTTGGATACTTGGCTTTTGGAGAAAACACCCGAAACCCCATCAACATGAATATGCCGGAAACTGGAGTGTAAGTATATGCAGTGCGGATGTGTAAGAAATTTCCATTCTAATGAAACAAAAACAGAGCTTCTGTGGTAAATACCTCATACACTGAAAAAAAGTTCGGTAAATCCGAACTAGCTAGGATCATATGGAACCACGATTTTTTTCGGTACACACGACCGACATTCGGTCTGCTCAGCCAAAATGTTTGGTCCACTGAACCGAACTGTAAGAATTTATCTTAGTTCGGTCGCACAAACCGAACAATTCGGTTTAACAGACCGAACGATTCGGTTGAACAACCGAACAAAACCTGGTTCCATATGATCCTAACTAGTTAGGATTTACCGAACTTTTTTTTCAGTGTAGAGTCATTAATGATGAACATTTGAATAATGGGGGAATGAGGCAATGGATAATTACTCGTATTAAAAGAGGATCCAAAATGACAGAACACCTTCAATTCTCCATGTACATTAAGAGGATTTCTCTCAGGGAGGAATAGTTGCTCTACAAATCATGCTCAACTCATCGCGAAATCAAAACTAAAGCTCGAAGATACTCACATCTTACGCATGCGTTCAACTATTCGTGCGTATGAGATTCTTTTGTAGTGTAGTCGAATAATTGAAGGCGCTTCGTCATTTTTAATCCTCGCAGTAGAGGCCGTCGTGCTCCCACCACGGATAAAGTGGTGAGCGCCTGGAGTGTCGAAACGCCTGGGCTCTCGTGCGTATGCAACACGGCCATCCACGAAGCCCGAATAGTTGCATCCAGGAGTTATAATAAAACTCAGTCCGTGGTCGTCGCGTGCGATACTAAATGGGGGCGCTTTGTTGTCACTCTTATACATTAATCTAATTCCAGCCTTGCCTATTGTGCCGATGATTCAAACCATGTTTTACTTCCCATATTAACCAAACTTTTGTGTTGAAATTTTTCTCGGTGTACTTTCCACGGAAATGGGGTTTCTGGCCGTTTCACAGTTCGGCAACAGTGCTTTGACAATCACCGAAAATCGTCACGTATCTTTGAGGGCGCGCTGTGAAAGCGACTTGAATATAAATCTTTAAGGATTTTTTATTAAGTCTTTCCTCAGTCAAGTAAACATTTTAGTAGGAATGCAGAGTGTACATTATGTAAATCACATGTTTAACTATTTCTCTTTTAAAGAAAAAAAATAGAAAGCTCAAATTCAAGATAAATGTTATTTTCAGGATGGGATATTTGATTCGGGCATTGCTGACTGGCTCCCTTTTCATGAGTTGTCTCATTAACAATTATGTTGTCATCGAGGAACTTTGGCACAAAAATCTGAAGCTGAAATTGGAGGGCAGGAGACACGTTGGCCAGTGGGAATACGCATTTCGAACGGTTGTAACGTGCGCCTGTTGTAAGTGATTTATCGTATTTGTTCATTGACAAACGATCGCCATTCTTTTGCATATATAAAAGCCGTTTGTGTACATAATCAACCGTAAAGCTGCTCTTCTTTTGGTTGAATTCGACATTTTTGAGCGTTTCGTATCCTAAAATGTTCATATAACACAACGGTAGGAAACAACGTCGGAAATTTAAAATTGAATAGAGAGGTTACAGTATTTTGCTAGAACAAAAACGAGACTTGCTTCTTGTGGAAAGGAGTAAAAAATCACCACTAAAACAACGAAAATTTATGGAATATACCTCTGCGTTTACAATCCACCAAGTTTGCAAATTATATGCTTCCAGCAGGCTAATCATTGAAATTAATAGACGAAGCAATAGAAAAAGAGAAAACGAGGGGATCGTATTGGTGAAAGCGGTTCATAGGAATGGATAAAGTAGGCAACTGAAAAAATAACTGACGGCAACCCTTAGGATACTGTAAAGCTAGGCGATTATTTCCCTCCATACATAACAACCACCCGCGTCAACTAAGAGATTAATAGGATAGCACCATTTCTCTTTTGTCTTCTCTCTCTCAAATTCAAGAATCAGCCCGTCGCTTCAAAAAGTAAGATGTAGCCTGCATGAGTACAAAGCCACTATTCAACCACTCGAGCGTGCCACAGTATCACTCGAAATTGAAGGCGATCTTAACGCACCAACTCATAAGGTTAATTTCTGAATTCACTGGACGCTTCCAACTAACCTCAGTATTCCTGAACGAATGTTTTAAAGCATAACGCTTTTAATTAATAATGATAGTAATTTGGTCTTCTTCTTTCAGTTCTTTGTTGTATGGCTATTCCCAACTTGGAGCTGGTTACGGCCCTGGTTGGTTCACTGGTGATGCCCGTGCTCGGAATGTGGCTTCCCGTCATCATCTCCTCACTCACATTTTGGAACAAGTACACTGGTTTTCAATTCACTCTCTTTATATTCAAGAACGTTGCTCTATTACTCACTGGTGTTTTCGCTCTTGTCTCCGTTCTGGTCACTGTTTTAGAAATTTATGAGTCCGTCCTCAAATAAAATTGATCTGTTAGTTTCATTACTGTGTTATACTTGTGAAACTACTTTATATTCATACTTTGTATGTACAGGGTGATCCAAAAGTTCCCTCGAAGTCCCCTTTAACTTTTTACCTGATCGAGGCAAGGATTTGAAACATGGGGGATGTTCTTAGGTCAAAAAAAATTACTTTTTGGCCCCCCTCAAATTTTCGGAGGGGCCCTCCTGAAATATAACGTCAACATACCTCTAAATTTTTCTCGTGTCAAAATACCTCTAAATTCTGATTTTTACACAAATCCATCGACAAATAACCGGTGTCAATTTTTGGCCGTCTTGGACTTTAACTGGCCATTTTGAACTTTAACCGGCCATCTGGAAATTTAATCGGCCGTCATTTTGAAACGGTTTGAGAATTTGACTTCGGTTTGCGCGAAAAGTTTTCTTCTTTTATGCTCTTTTGAACAAGCTATCACAAAGGGGGTACTCTCATTTGAAAAAAAGTTGAGGTCCGTTGCCCCCCAAAATGGCCCCCCTGAAAACGTCAGAAGAGCCAAGAAGTAGCTCCCTTTGACCTAGGTACATCCCTTATGTTTCCAATTTTCACCTCAATGAGGTAAAAGTTAGAAGGGGTGGAAGGGACTTTTAGATCACCCTGTATAAATACTTTTTATACATTTTTGAAAGGTTTAACCTGCAACTTATTTAGGTAGCGCATAGCACGACGAATCATCACTTCCGTGCCCGAAGAAATAATCAGAGTTCCAAAAGTTTATAGCTGATTGGAGATTTTACATAGGAGTGCATTCAAAATATGGTAAGATAATTATTGGCTTGCAACGTTTCTTTCACTCCACAGCCTACGTCTGCATTCATCAAGGGACAAGGGCTGCGGATTTTTGAAAAATAATGTTTTTTTGAAAACCTTCGCTCTACTCAAAATTCCTGGTGCTAAGTTAGAATCATGGCGACTTATGATGTCATTTGATGACGATGAATGAAGAATTTTAACTGAAGAATCGCCAACAAAAAATGTCTTTTATGCCAATATACAGCTTGAAAGAAAATCCTCAAAATGAGCCCATTTTTCGAAAAAAGGGAGGCTTGGAATCTACGTAGAAATATGCGAGACCAAAATTTGACTCATGTTCATGGTACTGAGGTCCAATAGCGCCAGGAATTTTGAGCGGAGTAAAGGTTTTCAAAAAAAAGTTTTTTTTTTTTTTTTTTGAAACACTCTAGGCTGCAGGGCTTCCATCAACATTTTAAAAAAATTCTTGCGGAATTCCAAAGGAAAGTTACAAAAAAATTTCACAGGTAAATTTGCAAAATCGATGAATATTAATATGGAACTTCCGAATATTTCAACGAAATAAAACTTCTTAGACCCCACCTACCTCTTTAAGTCTCTTAAGTCTGTAAAATTCAGTTTCAACCAACAATTTTCTCAAATGATCAATATACTGACTATTTTGATCGTGATGTCACCCCAGGGAGAGTGACTATTAAATCAGGTATCAGCATAAGCATAAAACGATAGGAGATTTTGCGGAATATGAGCCCCCCCCCCATTCTTTCTAGGAATAAAACTTTCCCAGTTGGGATACAGTTCTAGAATTATTTACCTTTCGGGCCCCCTCCAAGAAACTGTATATATCATGGCCCCGCCCTCAAGAAACATATCGACCGTGAGACTACCAGATGACGTTTCTCGTTTGCGGTGTTTAAATATCTCTGATCCCATTATGTTCTTTTGAAGGAGAACAAATCAATAGCATTCCTTATGGTTTTGAAACAAATTCCTTGGCACAGAGGACAAATATCAAGGAAGTATTCAAAAATTGACGTTGAGAAGTTTACCTTTTAAAAAATGAAGTATGACAGGAAATCTGCAACGTCACGACCCGAGAAACTTGTTATGGTAGTTTCACCGTCATACTATGCAAAGTCGACGATTTAAATATTTTAAATTACTGATAAGGTATACACTGTTTGTAAGCTAATTTACTGCATATTGCTTGCAAGTGCGTAAAGTATATTTTGATTTAATTTTGCAATAAGGAATCACTATTTCTCGATCCATTGAAGTACCTATACATATAATGTATCTCAACGGGAAAACAAGTATGGCACATACCTTATTTCTGAAATGCACTGGCAATAGAAGTTCCTTCATGCTAAAGATACTTATATTAATTTTTTATGATGTCTTTTGAGCTAAAAAGTCTTTCGGCAGTGCATTTCTTACCCTCATGTTCACATCATTAATTAAACAAGGACAACCTAGCTAGCACGTAACGTACAATCACGTGAGTCTTAAGAGGTATTATGCAACCAAAGACTCGCGTGTATACGCAGATAAATTCTTTTTGCTTACTGTGTATTGTGAAGCACATGAGTGATAAAAACTGTGGCTGAAGAACAAAGGAACAAAAAACACTTCAATATTTAATACTCAGGCATCCTGTGCACAAAGGAAAGCTCGAACTTGGGTGGCTCAAATTTTTAAAAAAAATGGTCGAGACAGAATGGAGGCAGAATGCCTCCTGATCTGAATCCGACTAAATACAAAAATCAAAATTATTTTCTTTCACGCAGATCAGTAAGTAATAACTTCCAATGTTTCAGCAGTATCGATAGTCTTAAGCACGCCCTCAATAACCGACTTCGACTTCCACGTAACGCTGACGGCTGTCTTATGTTATGATGAGAAAGATTTCATCAATACCTCGTTAATGTTTGTCAAGATTCTTTACGAACGTTTATTGAGTGGAAAAGATTAAATTAAGCCTCTCAGTGGCGTGATTAAAAAGTGTTGGATTAAAACTTGGAGTGAACTCACCTCTCTGAAGCTGCATCGTCCATGCTAATTTTTATCATGGATTCACTGTGCCTCGTGATCTTGACGTACTTTACCGGATATCACACTTGAATGTTGACCGTTAATGGTTCGTTTAATATTGAAAATATCTCGATCTTAGTTTCCGTCTCTGTTTGTTTCTCCCCCCCCCCTTTTTTTGTGTATGTAACTTTTCTTTGGGTGTAAACTTTATGTTTTCAACGTTTCTGGAACATAATTTTCATATTGCAATCAAACGTTAACTAATTGAGGAATCTAAAAACAATCAGCTCCAAGTGTTGACAATACTCCAGGGTAAGTAAAACATACATTCATGCCAATTTTGTGGAAAAATTATTGAACAGTTGAACGACTCCTTAACATAATAGTTGCATTTCTACGACGAAACTCCCAAACCATGCATCTTCGTTTGCGATGTTGCAAACTCCCTGTCATATTTTATTTTTTAAATGGGAAACTGCTGAATGATGATGCTTAAAAACTTTCGTGAGCTTTTCTTCTTGTGAGAAGAAAATTCTGGAGAAACTTCAAGGAAGTTGATTTATCCTCCTTTAAAGAATAGAATGAGAACGGAGATTTTGTGACACTGCAAACGAGATACGTGGTCTGGTATAGTTTTGCTTTAAAGACAGTACATCAAAAAGCGATCATTTTTTGTGTCCCATGCCAAACATATTGATTTTTTTATTTTTCATGTTTACATTTTGTTTTAATAGATCAAAAATTGTATAGATATCGATGGTCAAAGGGCAAACCATGTAACTCCATGCGATGTTTCAAAATTTCGACTCCTAATCCAATTTTCCAAGGAGAAACAAGCCAACTTTCCAGTTAAAAAAATTGTACAAAATATTCTGCCGACGGAGAAAAAAAAACCGAGGCAATTTTAAAAACACAATGTTGACTAGTTTTTCACAAAAAAAGATAAATAAGTTGATGACAGAGTTATGCAACGTCTCAAACGGAGATACGAGGCTCCGCACTTCAGTCATCGATATATATTGTTTCTTTGTCGCGCTCCAGTGTAGTGAATGACCCACAGACGCAAAGATGACCTCACTGTGGAACTGTGGGGTCAGCATGCAACATTGCGACTTATTAAATGCCTGTGTTGCATATTCAAAAGATTGAAGGCACTCTCGATTGACCTGTCATTCGAGGTCTTATAACATCTCTTCTGCGTCCCTGCAATTTAATTTTCACACAATTGAATTGAATTGGAATAAGCCTCAGTGCATGGCTTTTTGAAGTGATAGTTCCATTGATCTGTGTTCAATGAGACAGAAAGATACAGAAGTGCAATGATAATGTTGATTGACATGGATATTTTGTGAAAAGCGCTCCACCCTTGCATACTGTTATCAGTTACCTACTTATGAGTGAAGCCGGATCCACTTACACTACAGCATGACAATGCATCAATCTTGGAACATCTCTCAAGATCGCAAACTGGAAGAGGAGCTCCTCTCCATCTCAAAGACATTTTATAAAAAAAAAATATGGTCAATGATTTTATTATTTTATTTTCATTTCACGTCTAAGGGTTCCTTAATTATAGAATACATTCTCAAATCATACTTCAACTAGGGGGCCATCCCTCGGTCCGCTTTGCGGTCGAACCCTCCGAAATGCTTTCAAGACTCAGACGTTATGCGCTACACGTAACTCTCGTGAGTAACTCATACTAAAGAATAAGATGATTTTCCAGAAAGCTCTCAAGCCATGTTGATAAATCTCATTGGATGGATTTGATACTTAATGCGTGGCACAAAATTTTCCCATTCATGATTTTATTTAATCATTTAATTTGTCAACTCAGTTCAATTTTTATGGGGTTAATTTGACATCAAATATTGCACGACATTTGAAATAGATGGATACAAATGGGCGCCCTCAATTTAAATCGTATTCAGCGTTTTTGAACAGTGAATGTCAATATGAAACACAAATGGACGTATTTATGCTAAATGGAACTATGTGCATTGTGCAAGTGGAAAGATGGGGTGTGCTCGTTAGTTGAGGGTCATAAGAATGAATGGGGATTTGAAAGCGCCAGTGACGACAGCGGCAACGAAGTCGTCCCCGTCGTCGTTCTTGCTCGTCCATAAGTCATGAACCCTGTCCACAACGCTTTTGCCTCATGCCCATACGGCTCACGAGTTAGCGCTCAGTTCCTTCTGATTTAATTGTAAATCTCGCTTTCCAATTTTCTCAAAAGGAACTATATCCACTTTTACATTGTTTCTTATGCAGCCTCCACGAGCACACCCCATCTTTCCAGCTGCACATAGTTCCTTTAGCATAAGTACGTCCAAAAATTCCTCCGCGATGAAACAAATTTATTTTTTCACATTAAAATTCTGCAATCCAAAAGTTTGTTGATCAATATCTCAATACCGAGGAAAATGCTTAGAGCATCTTATCAAGCTTTCGTTCAGTTTCAGCAAATCACGCACATGAAAGATGGGTTTTAAAGAAAAATCAGACTCACAAGCAGTTCTCGATGTGGAAGTGAGCGGAGATAGCCCTGATTTGGATGAACATTATGAGCCACACGATTACCAGCCACCTGGTAAATCAGCCTCGTAAGTCGATCCTCTTTTCTGAAGACCAAAGAGGGAGTTAAGAGACTCCCTACTTAATTAGGCTGTCTTTTTATCATTTTTCTAAATGACCATGCACGAAGAAAGAAATTTATTAAAATTGATATTTTGAGAGGAAGCCATTCATATATTCTGGTAGCGGCTCAAAATTTTTGGGTTACAATGCAAACTATAATGCCCTCTATTTTAATAGAAGAACCGAGTCAGTTTGCAGGTCATTTTTCAGAGTAGGAGATTGATTCCCAAAGAAAATTGAATTCATTTTTTCGATCGAATATAATATGGATCACACTTTCCTGAAACGCGTAACTACATGTGCGAACC